TATATATATATATAACTATATATATAACAATTTAAAATTTCTAAAAATTACCCCATTCAGTGACCTGCGACTAGATGTTTGATTCACTAAGAACTTTGATTCGAAGAAATCAGTCTGATAAATGAACAAGTTCAACTGATTCCTTTAAAAGAACCAACTCAACAGAAAGATTCGTTTGAGTTTAGCTCACTGGGTGAAGTTGGATATATTTTTCTCTCTGGGTAATGATTTGGTCTAAATGCTAAAAGCTAAATATGAATGTCATTGAGATTCCTGGACTGTGCATCTAGCAAACGATCCCACAATCACTTGTTTGCTCGGATCATAAAGTTAATTGTAAACACCAAAAAAGTGGCAAGTAAACCAGATTAAACTGAAACAAATTGGCGTTCCCATAGAAGCCGTAACATTTGAGGAATTAGAGCATATGAGAAGGATTTAAAGATCAGTAGGTCTTATTAAAAGCTCTGCTGAAATCCCACTTACACAATGATGTGGCTATGCTTCAGTTTTTCACTCATACTTTGCTACATGAGCCAATTTTCCTGCTTGTCACTGTGTATTTAGTGTAGTATCTAAACTAATAGTCATGTCGCTATTGAGTTGAGCTCAAGAACTAGGGTTCAGTGACCGTCCCAAGCACCCAATAAACCACTTCCCCACTTCAGGCAGATTGCACGTGACCTTTGACCCCAGGAAGCGTTTGTGGGAGTCTGCAGCTGTCAGACCAACACCTCGTTTCCTCTTTGATTGATCACGTCTGTGAAACCGCTGCAGCTTCTGTGTCATGCGTGTTATTGGCAGGAGAAAATGTTCAGTGGATATGCCAGTATCGTTCCTGTCTCGTGTCATTTGTCCCATCTCTGAATAGGTAAACATGGTGCAAGGGCTGCTGGGAGCTCGTGCGTCAGTCACTTACACACCTTTATTGCTTGTATTTGCTTTAGCTTCATCGCATTCCTCTGCCCGGGTCTCATGATTTTCCGTATCATAAACCGTAATAAACAAATCCCTGAGTGTGTGTGAGTGTGTGCGCACATATACTCACACATTCAGATCAGACTCTCAATAGGTAACATATTTTGTGGTTGTGGTTTGTAGTTGTACTGTAATATTTCTCCCCAAAATCTATATTTTTTATTTTTATTATTATTATTTTTATGTTTTTAATAGAATAGTTAAGATTTTTTTTTCATTGTGACATTTAATTCATGACAATTAAGCACATTTATTCCAAAGTTCACATTATCAAAATGTATTTAGATGTTTTGTATTTTTCATTATTGTGAATGTGATTCTCATTATGTAAAAATTTTAGTATGTAAAAAATGACAGATTTGAATGTTTCTATCAGCATAAAAAATATAATAAATACCAAAATATCATTTGTATGATTACATTTTACCTAAATATATTATTTATTTATTTATTATTTATTAATTAAAAATATATATAAAAAACTTAATTATATATTTCTTCTTTTTTGCATTGCAGTCATGAGGAAAAATATACTTGATTATTATATCACAATGCAAAAAATATAGGGTTTGTTTTCTTTAAGCGCAATATGTATCCTCTTTCTTTTAATTCGGGGGTGAAATATGACCATGAATGTTTTTAAAGATTCATTCAACATAATGTACCGTCACTTGATGAGCATCTGTTAAATACATCTCGATTTCTATTTCCCGTTTGTGTTCCACAATGGATGAATCAACTTTATCTAGTTTGAAATCAAATGCAGCCAGTAGATGCGCTGCCAGAAAGCTGATTGTCAAATGCTCGAGGGTGTGTGAGGGGTTATTATAAACCGACAGATTATAGTGCATTCGGCTCATGTTTAACATGTATTAATCACTAGAAGATAACAAAACCAATCCAACCAGGTTACATGACCACCTGGCCTTTTCTTATCATTCTAAAGAACAGAGGAAATGAACTAGGGATAAATGAGGTCTATACTGTGAATTCTTAATGCAAGCTTCTATGAAATGATTGTGTAACATGAATTATGAGATGCATTCATGGAGATCAGAGACCAGCTGTGAAACCAACACCACTGACCTCACGGATAAAAGTGTCCGAGACAAACTAAAACAAAAGAGTAGGAAGTGACCATATTTATATGATGTCTCACTAGTTGTTAAAAATTAAAAATCTTGTTCAGCCTATATGATATACACTTCCGATCAAATTCTTTTTTTTTTTTTTTTTGGAAAAGATACAATAAACATTACCAAAATCTTATTTTTATTATTATTAATATTTATAATAATAATGCATATTATATTATTATGTATAATATATTATTTGATATTATATTATGTTATTTTTATAACATAATTAACATTATATATAAATTACATTTTAATATAAAATTATAAATAAAAAAAATATATAATCTTTTTACCTGTGTATCTGTGACTGGATTAATGGATGAAAAATCAGTTTTGCATCACAGGAATAAATGACATTTTAAAACATATCAGAATGGAAAACGGTTATTTTTAAATTGTAAGAATATTTCAAGATTTTGCTGTTTTTACTGTTTTTTTGATGAAATGCAGAAAATGCAGCCTTGGTGAGCTGCTTTAAAAACAAAACAGACTTTTGATCCACATTGGTCAACCACTATCAATATTATTTTTATGTGATTTTTTTATGACATGCTTTATTTGGATAGCATGTTATTATTTAATATCAGTAATGATTTATGAGTAGTTTTTATCATAAGCAAACCTTCAACCACCATATTAGTAAATTGTGAATGGTTGCCATGTAGTTGCAGTATGGTTGCTAAGGTGTTTTGAGTGCTACAGTATGTGCGTTTTTGATTGGTTCAAGTCAAAAGAGTTCACCTCGAGTCACCCAATGCATCCAGTCTTCAGTGTGAGACATGTGATGACTTGATTCGAAACCAGACTGGTTCAGGCTTACATGCTTAATAAACAAGTAAAGGTAAAAGTGAAGGTTAAAACACAAGTGACTGATCTTCAGAAGAAACGCTGCGGGTGCAAGGCGAGATTAAACATGTTCGCTCTTTCTAGACAAAGCCTGGTTGATTCTGGTTTTGTATTTTGACTTTGTCTACAAAAATACTTTTGTGTCTGACTTTGCCTTTCTCTGTTTTTGTCTTTTTCAGAATGGAGGATGAAGCCATAGTGGACAGGGGAGCGTCTTACATCAAAAACATGTGTGATGAAGAGGTCGAGGGTACGAAACACACACACACACACACACACTTAAATATATAGTGGGAAATTGGATCTCCTGTGTCACAGTGACGACTGTGGATCTCTGAGAGTCTTAGTTACTGTGGATTGAGTTTTCGCTTTCACTCACTCCTGTCTCTCTCTCTCTTCTCTCGGCCAGCTGTTTTGTTTTTTGTTTTTGTTTTTTTTATTCTTGCATTGCTAGTAATTTGTGTTTAAGGGCAGGAGAGGATTATGAGTGCTGCAGATGTAACAAACCAAAGCTCTACACGTGAAGATGTTTACTGTCTTAATCCACACACACACACACACTGAATCGGTTTCTACATTCAGGAGGAATTGACTAAAGATGTGCGCCACATTAGCGAACTGTATTTCAGTTTCAAAAACCCTTTATCGTTTTTCTATTACTGCCACCAAACCACCTCAAGTGAAATGTGCACTGTTGTAGCACTGCATCGTGTGCATATTTAGTGGCATTTAATGATGATGATATTTAAAATGATGATTATAAAAACAAAACTAGTAAATTAATTGATGCTTTTACAAAGATTAGTATATATATATATAATTTTTCTTTTTTTTTCTTTCGTGGAACATGAAGAAATAAAATATTCTTGACAAAACCTATGTAAAATACCATGATGAATCAAAATATAAGGTTCTGTAATATATATATAAATATTTGTAGAATATATAAATGTAACATTATAAAATTATATAAAATAAAACATTATTTAAAATAAAAAATATAGTATAAAACAATACACATATAAACTGTATGTAATACACACCAGATATTTGATACAATATTTGGTAGAAATTCTTATTACTATATTATTATTTTTATTATTATTATTTTAAAGATAAAATATTTCAAAATTCACACCCTGTAGAGTCAATTTAGCCATTTTTTATTTATTCTAGGGTTAAATTAAATTATTGTTCCGACTCTTTCCATGCAATGCTAATAATATAGCAATGCAATAGAAATGCTAATAATAATTTAACAATTTAAATTTTCTTTATTGAATACAGTACTTAAAATTATATATATGTATATATATATATAATTTAAATAATCAAATTTGCAGCATAATTTTTGTGGCAGTGTTTGCAGCCCAAATCATTTCTAAAATAAATCTTGTGCTAAAACAACACAGGCAGTGTGTGCAAATAAATGACTGGACACAGTTCACTGAGTGAATTCCCCTCTCAGATGTAGAATGTATAAACTACTGCAGGTTCAGACGTCTAAAAATATCTACACATCAAAAGCAGAACAAACACATTCACAAACATGAGCATTTCACACACTTATGCTCTTTCTATATTTGCTCCTCCCTCTCTCGTCCTCACTGAACTTTGGACCTTCACATGATGGTCTCACACACACACGCACACACACACACACACACACACACACACACACACACACACATCAGATAATATTCTGACATATTTGTTTAAAGTTAACCTTGAAAAGTGAAGGATGACTGAGCGTGATTGACGGATGGCTGGATTGATGAGCGGCTTTACTCGTTCTTATATTGTTCTGTGAGTGTGTGTTTATCTGTGTTCTCTCTCTTTTTCCACTTCCTGGAGATGTTTTGCCATTTCCTGCCCGATCAGCTGCAGGAAGTTGTTAACTTTTATCTTTAATCTAACAAGTGTGAGATACGGGTCAGATTTTGCTTCTGAAAAAACATGAATACATGCAAACACAGAAACGCAGTGACTTTCTTATACATGCTCCTGGTCTTATTGTGTATGATTTATTAGTGCATGTTCTTCCAAAGAATAAAAATAGCGTAAAAATTCCTTATCAGCTAATGTCATCAAGTCATTTTTTATTATTAAAAATCCTATTTCACTCATGCAAACACATTGGAAAGATCAGTGTTGTTTATATACTATTATAATATTTATTAATATTTTAACCAAAGTTAACCAGTTTTTCAGTTTTAATTTAAGTTGAACTTTTAGTCATTTATATGCTTTTGTCATTTTATTAGTTTTAGTATTTGTTTTAAATATTTGCATTTAGATTTCATTTATTTTTATTTCAGATTTATTATAGTTTTAGTAATTTTAGGACTTTAACTTATCTATTTCTGTTTTCAAATTTTCGTTTATGTTTTTTATGTTTTTTATTACTTAATTTAATTTATTAAATTTCATTTTTAATTTCAGTTTTATTTTTATTCATTTTAGTTCAGTTTATTTCAGTTGACAAAAACAATTTGTGATTAGTTTTAGCTTTAGTTAATGATAACAACACTGCGTCACATCGTGTCAGTAATTATTTGCATGAAGTAGCATTTGAAGCATGTGATCTTTCATGGCCTTTTCTTTGTGCGTGTGTGTAGGTCATCACACAGTCTACATTGGAGTTCACGTGCCTAAGAGTTACCGTCGCCGTCGACGACACAGACGACGATCCAATCACAAAGAGAGGAGGGAGCGTTTGGTGGAAAACTTCAGCGACAAATCAGACACAGAGACTGCAGACGATCCGTCCTCTTGTTCTGTGCACTTGTAAATTTTTGTCCATGGGGGTGGCTGGCTTGTGTAATTCGATAAAAACACAATGGAAGCTGTTTAAACTACTTCAAGAACATTTGCAGCTACCTGACCACTTTTAATACACTGCTTTAATAGATTCTCCATTCCATGGCCATTTGAAAACTTTGTTTTTGGTTTTGGTTGCCAGGTGGCGTGCAAGTTGTACAATGCTGGTTTAAAGCACCTGAAGCAAAACTGGTGTTTTAACCTTTTCTACATAGTGTTCTACATAAAATGCAATGGTTTTCAAAGTGGTGGCCACAAGGGATCACAAAACATTTGAGAAGAAACCATTCAGGTTTTACAAACTGTGTTTTTATGGCTATCATAGTGCGCTTATATTAATGACTTAAAGGGATAGTTCACCCAAAAATGAAAATTCTGTCATCATTTACTCACCCTCATGTCGTTCCAAACTTGTATGAGTTGCTTTCTTATGTTGAACACAAAATAAGATATTTTGAAGATTGCTGGTAATCAAACAGTTGGTGGTTGCCATTGACTTCCATAGTATTATTTTTTTGCTGATAATCTTCCCTTCTGCTGGAGCTCACCAGCAACTTCCCAGAGTTTCTTCATCTATCCTGCCTCAGATGAACTCCGGTGGGAGAATCTCACAAAATCTGTCGAAAACAAGACATATTTCACTACAAAATATCACACCATTTTAAAGAGGATGAAGCGTAATTTAGGACCATTAAAACATTATTTTCATGACGATTAAGCACATTTTCACCCCAAATGTCATTAGTTTAAAAAAAAAATTTTTAAATTCTTTTTCTTTCTTTCTTTCTTTCTTTCTTTCATCTCTCTCTCTCTCTCTCTCTCTCTCTCTTTCTTTCATCTTTCTTTCTTTCTTTCTTTCTTTCTTTCTTTCTTTCTTTCATCTCTCTTTCTTTCTTTCATCTCTCTCTCTCTCTTTCTCTCTTTCTTTCTTTCATCGTTCTTTCTTTCATCTCTCTCTCTTTCTTTCTTTCTTTCATCGTTCGCTCTTTCTTTCTTTCTTTCTTTCATCTCTCTCTCTTTCTTTCTTTCTTTCTTTTCATCTCTCTCTCTTTCATCTTTCATCTCTCTCTCTTTCTTTCTTTCTTTCATCTCTCTCTCTCTCTCTCTCTCTCTTTCATTTTTCTTTCTCTCTCTTTCTTTCTTTCTTTCTTTCTTTCATCTCTCTCTTTCTTTCTTTCTTTCTTTCATCTCTCTCTCTCTCTTTCTTTCTTGCTTTCTTTCATATCTCTCTCTTTCTTTCTTTCATCTTTCGCTCTTTCTTCTTTCTTTCTTTCTTTCATCTCTCTCTTTCTTTCTTTCTTTCTTTTTCTTTCATCTCTTTCTTTCTTTCTTTGTGTTTTTAAATAATGTAAATGATTAAATAAAAAGTAATTGTTTATTATTATTAGCATTATTTAAAAAATATGTGTGTATATATAATATCTATTATATATTTAAATCATATGAATGTATTTCACTATATATTATTAAAATTCATTTAGATTAATGTAATTTAGTATATATTACAATAATTACAATTAGTATATAATTAAAAGAATTAGTATATAATTACAATTATCAAGTGTTTGTATGTCATGGTAGTATTGGTAGTATAATATAATATTATTCATAATATCATTAATAATTATTTAGTAAATCTCTGTATAAAAAGAGAATAACTTATTAATAACCATTAAGGAATTACATAAAAACGCAAAATGAAAATGTCTGGATGCATAACAATTTATTTGTTTGTTTGTTTATTTTATTTTATTTTATTTATTTTATTTTTTTTAATATTTTTATTTTTTATTTTTTTTTATTTTATATATTTTTTTATTTTAATTTATTTTTATTTTATTTTATTTTATTTTACATGTAGGAGTAAAATGGATTATAAGATTCACCCTGGCAATAAATGGTTAAAAAATGGCACATTTAGACGTGTTGTGCTAGATTTGTTGTTGACAACAAATGCCATCGGTTATTGCATGTCAAGTCTACAGTGACTTAAATTATATTATTATTATTATTATAAAAATAATATTATGCATTATTATATTACTTCAGAAGACTGTCTTGCACAAGTCATGTTGACTACTTTTATTACATTTTTATAGTACTTTTTAGGATTCACCATCCATTTTCCTTGTAAAGAAAACAGCAGCTCAGACATCTCATTCTGTGTTTCACAAAAGACATAAATCAATAAAAAAATCTGCAAGCCATTCCTAATCAGATGACAACCTTCACAGATATTTCCCAGGCCTTTATCACAGAGCGATCCATAATGTTCTGGAGAATCAGGCGGTGATTTAAATAAATATGATTGACCCGAGAGCGATGTAGAGTCAGAGCGAGATAAAGTGGCGCTCACAGCCTCAGTTAAAGGTCTTTGTGTGTGTTAATCTCTGCTAATCAGTGACGCGGCTGAAAAGGCAAAGCATCGAGCTAAACAAGTGCATAGTCACCTTTATCTGCGCTTATCCTCAGTGAACCCGCTCCACCTCTCCATCACTCTCTCCTGCTGTAGATCCTGTGAGAATCACACATTTCACAGACATTACTTACAGTAAGTCACTGGGTTAAACTAACAAACACATTTCTCACATAATCATAGTATGTACGGCTTCTCGTGGCTGGATTTAGCATTGGCAGTCAGCTGATCGCAGCAATGCCTCTAGTTTAAGTATATGCTAGTGGTATAACAGGTCATTTTAGCCGCTTGTGGGAAGAAGTGTTAACTTTTAGCCCATGTTAGGAGGCATGAAGCCAGATGTGGGTCAGAGGGATGTTCTTGTGTGTACAACACAGCCTTATTTTCTCCAGAGGGGCTGTTTCAGGCTGCTGGGGGAGGAAAACAATCGCCTGGCTTTGGCTAGTTTAGCGTAGATTAGCTGAGCGTGCTGCAAATGTGCTAAATGCAGAGAGAGAAAGGCAGTTCCTGTTAAAAAGCCTTGAATATGTTAAAATATTAGTGTTCAGTATAAAGCCTGGTGCCACTGCCTTGCATTTTTTTTAATCATTTAATGTTTTTTTTAAAACGCCATTTTATATTGTCATCATAATAGTGATTATTCATATTGTTTTAGTATTTGGTTTGTCTCTCATTTGGATAAATGATCACTGCACTGGAGCTCATATGCAAATATCTCTATAAATGTCATGAAGTTGCTTATTAGTTCTAGAAATAGTGCAAAATCTTAAGTGTTACGTTTCTTTGATTCAAATTTATTTTTAAATAAGTCCTGAGGGGTTCATAATGCCAAAATAGATCCAAGTACCGCTTTGTTGTTGATAAGAAAATTCTAAGGAAGTATTTTTAGTTGCTTTTATTTGATGTTACAACAGTCAAGTGGAAGAAGACAGAGCTTTCCTAAAATTCATTGTTGCCTATTTGAAAATATGAGTTTGACAAAGGCATAAATAGTTTTCAGAAATTCGTAATTATATCTATATTAATACTATATCTATCTATCTATCTATCTATCTATCTGTGTGTACAAGACTGCATTTATATGACCAAAATTACAGTAAAATTGTGAAATATTATTACAATTGAAAATAACTGTTTGAATATATTTTAAAGTATAATTTATTTTTGTGATTTTGAATCAAAATATCCAGTCAGTCACTATGTTGCAATGCAACCGAGAGGTTTCCATATATACTGACTTCCCTAACTATCAGTCTGTCCGGGAAGGCTGTACTCAGTAATCACCGTTTTTTTTTTACCTGATTTCCCAGACATAGACACAAATCTCATTAGTTTCCCAAAAATCTTGCCTTAAACCTTTTGTTTGTTCTAGTTTTTCCTTTAAGAGGCACTGCCTGTGCAGAAAATTGAGTCTTTGTAATGTAAAAGTGTACACTTTTACATACAACATTGCTTTTTTTTTTTTTTTTAAACTAGGCTTCCTCATGCACACACTTTCACATTTGATAACTTCCCTGTGAAATTCAGATGCAGGTCAGTTCTAGCTTTCGCAACACTCTCTATTTCTGTTTGTCCAGGAAACAAGTCTCACATACTTTTTGGGTGTAACACACTTGATATTTACAAGAAAGCTCATTCATGTTGATGGTACATAACACCTATGAAGGAAGTAACCTGTGATTTCTGTTACAGTCACATCTTAAGCAGACAGAGTGCTATTGTCTTCTTGTGTGTTTCTGTTAGTATATCTGTTGTTTGATTATAATAGCTAGTATTTTTAGGTTAGCAGGCCTCTCTCACCCCTGGTTTGTTGTTTTCTCGTCAGTTTCACCTGCTGCAGAGAGGATTCGCTTTATTTTGGGGGAAGATGACAGCGGCCCTCCTCCGCCGCAGCTCTTCACCGAACTCGACGAGCTTCTCGCCGTTGACGGACAAGAGATGGAGTGGAAGGAAACAGCCAGGTAAAGTGTAAAAAACACCCCAAAACATTATGAACAGAAGACTGGAAGATTAGATACCGAAGCAATCTCGATTTCAATCCATGTCGCATTTTATTCTCAGTATTGACACAAGGGGTGCTATAGTGGGTATTAAAGGGGTCATGACATAAGAAATCAAATTTGCCTTGATGTTTTGACATATAAGAGGTCTTCGTACCATTAAAACATCCTGCAATTTTCAAAGCTTAATATATCCTCCTTGCTATAAACAAAGAATTCATCAAACTCCAAAAATGGCTTGGATATTGTGCGATTTTTGTCGTCACAAAGGTGAATATATTTGCATATGACCGCCTCAAGAGCAAGACATCAACCAATAGTTATACATCTTCACACCAGAGGCCCCGCCCACTGGCATTTAACTTGATAAATGGCGTTGCTATTGTGGCATATGCACTCATGTTAGCCAATCAAAAAAGTGGCCATTTACTGACCATTTACTGCCTTAAAGTGGAAATGAAGCAGTCAGTCAAGTCTACATGATTTATTAAAGTGATTTCCACTTTGATTAAAAAATATATAACAAACATGATTAATGTAACCATTTTAAAGAAAAAAGGTTGTTTTGCGCGACAGAAAGCTCAATTTGGTAGCCTACTCACGTGCTGTCCGAGCCGAGCTGTGGCTTTGTGTGTGTGTGCGGCGCGAACAGAAATGATCCATCACAACGCGCTAGCATTTAAATCTCTTTCAGAAAAGGTCTATCACAGCGTGTCAATACCGCACTGAAATCTATTCCGTGGGAAATCAGTTTACTAAATAATGTTAACTTAACTGACTGCTTCACTTCCACTTTAAAGGAGCCACCATAAAATCAGATCATTTCAGACAGAGGGTTGAAAATAATCGTTTTTCCTCGTCTGTCAAGTTTTTATGACAGCCACCATTTAAATGTTTATATTTCAAAAGACGAATTGGAGTAGAAATATAATTATGTAATTGTAAAGTTAGTATGATAACTTTATTATTATAAAAACTTCATCGAGTGGAATTTCAGTTTTTGTATTCAGTTAATGGCTCGCGCATCTGCGCCGCTGCGCGCTCAATCCACTCAGCGTGCTTGTTTATCAGCTCGCTCACTAAAGCTATACAGGCGTTAATACTGAATGTTTAACATTATATTCATTGCATACATATACTTCGTAGTAGACATCCTTAACTCCATTCTGCTGTCTGTTGTTCTGTTGTCGGTGTTTCTTTGTCTGAATATGGCGCTTATCACATGCTGTGTGGTATCGGCGTTTGGTATCGGGGCATTTTAACGAGTACGAGTACAGGAGCTCAGTATCGGGCCCGATACCGATACCAGTATCGGTATCGGTGCATCCCTAGTACCTAATATACATCCAAAATAATCAATATTGAATTGACTCGCAAGCTTGTGAATCAGAATCGAATCGTGAAGTTTGTGTCAATACGCTGCCCTAATATAAATATTGTGCAAAAACCTTTATTAACCTTTATTATAAGTGAACCTCAAGGAACATATTAAAATAATAATAATAACAAAAAATCCATAGTATGACCCCTGCAATGTAAACTGTCAATCTTCCACTGTCATAGGAGAAGAAAAATATTTTTCACACATTATTCCTAAATAGTATTAAAAAATTCTAATCTCACATACTATTTAGGCCAAATATAAACAAATTGGGATGCAAGCTTGTCTTAATTCAGAATATCATGTTATCATGCTGCTTTTACTGTTCATATTTTTCTATTGCAGAAACAGTTAAATCACATTTATAGCGCTTTAATACAGAATAAACTTTGCAAACTTCATCAAATATGAGACAAATTCAATTTCTGTTGTAAAGCAGCTCTAAAAGACAATTGAGTCGTTATTCATCTTGAGTCAATTCAGTTTTGATTCAGTTCAGTTCAATACCAGTGTAAATTCATTCATTATGAACGAATCCGGTTCAGCAATAAGCAGCTCTATACTGAAGAAAATTGTTCTTATTCAGCTCCAGTCAGTTCTGTGTTTGATTCGATTCAATAAAGCAAAATGTGTCAACTAAGAACAAATTTGATTCAGCTATAAAAAGCTCAACAGCAGACAAAACTTTCGCTGTTCAGTTCAGTTCCCCAAAAATGATTTCCAGATTTCGGCTAACTTCAGCCAATATTTTTTTTCAGCTGTTTTGTCCTCAGACGGATATGTAGGTCAGAAACGCACGCTTCATTGGGGGAGACCTCTGCTAAAACAACACTCGCGTCATTTGCCAGGTGCTCATGATTTTGGTGTGCCACTTGACTGTTCTTAGGATTTCACACATTCCTGACTGCATGCTCCGCTCACGTATGCTGTTAGATAAGCGTTTGCACTCCAGGATAAGGGTCAAGCAGAAATCCGCAACAAATAACACAAAAGCAAAATGCATGTGATCTAACAGAGAGGTGCATGCTTACATTTTTTCATCACTTTCAGGAATAGTACACTCCACCAAAAAAAGACTTACCCTCATTTACTCACGCACGTTCCAAACTGTTTGGAAATTGTGATTATTTACTATTCTGGCTGAGTTATACGGTTGATCTTGGGCCAGTTTGGTTCAAACAGCAAGAGAGACAAAGCAACCAGGGAAAGACGTGAGAGCAAGCAGACAAAGCAGCTTTCATCTGGTCCAAGTAGTTTTGATTTCCTGTGTGTATTGAGTGACGGATGAGCTGCAGGTCTTTTCCTGTCATGAACATATCGACTGACCAGCACACACATAAACACACACACATAGGTCTTGCTAACTAGTGATTGAGTCTAAATGAAACTTTTATTTAACAGTTAAATCATGTTTATGAATCATTCTATGAAACGGGTGACATTTTCCATTTTCTAAAGTTGAAAAAAATGTTCATAATCGACAGGGTGAACATGATTTGGATATGTTATATTTGGCTAATCTTGTCCAACGTGAAAAATAAATGACCAATGTTAAATGTTAGTAGAACAAGCTTTCGAAATTAGTTTTTCTGAAAACTTTTATGATGCCACTCCCTTTTCATTATGACATTTAAAACAATTATTTCACAGCTATTTTGAGGGAAATAATAGTGTGACGGAGGATAAAAACTCACATGGATGGTTTTTATTTTGTTTTGTTTCGTTTCAAATAAATGTGATTCATAATCTGAAAGTGAAAACCGGTGCACATTTTATCATGACAGATTTCTTTCTTTCTTTCTTTATTTATTTAAACTAACATTTCACTTATTATTTTGAGGGAAATAGTGATAAAAACTCACATGGATAGATTATCCTGTTTTGTTTTATTTATAGTTATTGAATTATTTTTTGATAAATGTGATTCATAATGTCAAACTGAAAACCAGTGCACATTTTATTTAAGCTACACAGACATGCAAATACATCAAATTAAAATGCAAATGCAGCATACAATACTATATTTAATTGAATATGTTTTTGATTAATTTTCAATTTAAGTGCACATAACAGTCAATAGCAGGTTTTTGTGTTTAGTTCACTTCATCAAATGCTGTGGACAAACATTTGATGGTGCAAATGGTGCTCCTTTCATGCAGCGACTCTTATATACTCTTTCTCTCTTTGGATTTGCATGTTCCAGATTTACATGTTAAGAGCTACATGGATCATGTTAAAAATGAAACCATTTGCAAACAAAGAGTCCAGTGTGTTTAACATGTGTGCATGTGTGTGGATGCACAAAGCTAGAGTTCCCAGAGTCCTCATGGGTTTCTGGGTTCACCTGTGTCTCAGGTAACATATCAAAACCACAGGCCGCTGTGTGTGTGTGTGTGTGTGTATCACTTTTGTCTCGGATATCATACGCACGCTTGGCTAAACTCAGCTCAACAGCCTTTCTGCACAAGATTACAGAGCTCTAAAGGATATCTGTGTGCTTAGGTATCGTTTCTCTGAGACAGATGCTCGCTCAAGCAGACGTGGGTAAACTGATAACACGGCAGCAGAGCTTTAAGAAGCTTTGAATCATTTTCATTCTTATTTTACACCAGAAAGCTTTCAGTTAGTTGGCAGAAAGGCAAATATAAGGTCTTCATAAAATGTGTTATACTATGCATATGTCATTGCAAGCATAAAATACATTACAAAACATTACTGTAGTGGTACTATGGTACAGAGATGGTAAAACCATGATAATCAATGTTTACAGTATTCATGTAAATCACTGTTCAAGTTTTGGGTCGGTAAGATTTTTAAATGTTTTTGAAAGAGTCTCTTCTGCTCACCAAGGCTGCATTTATTTGATCAAAAATACAGTAAAATCAGTAATATTGTGAAATATTATTACAATTAAAAATAACTGTGTTCTATTTGAATATGGTTTAAAATGTAATTTATTCCTGTGATCAAAGGTGAATTTTCAGCATCATTACTCCAGTCTTCAGTGTCACATGATCCTTCAGAAATCATTCTGATATGCTGATTTGCTGCTCAAGAAACATTTCTGATTATTATCAATGTTGAAAACAGTTATGCCGTTTCATGTTTTTGTGAAAACGAAATATTTCAGGATTCTTTGATAAATAGAAAGTTTAAAAAAAAAGCTTTTATTTGAGGGTGCCTTGCTCAAGGGCACCTCAGTCGTGGTATTGAAGGTGGGAGAGAGCGCTGTACATTCCCCCCACATACAATCCCTGCCGGTACGAGACTCGAACCCACAACCTTTGGGTTACGAGTCCGACTCTCTAACCATTAGGCCACGACTTCCCTTTAATGCATCTTTGCTGAAAAAAAATATTAATTTCTTTCAAAAAACATTCAATAATTGTACTTCAAAGAATGGTACACCATAGTAGATGACCAAAATTAACATAGAAACATGGCTTTACCATAGAACATGCCAAAAACGTTTTCATCTGCACCATGGTAAAACCGTGGTATTATAATGGTGCATGCCCAAAATGCATGGTATTATGATGCTAAATGTTCAAAAGAGGTGCTATTCCCATTGTACACATCAGAAAACATGGCATTATCATGGTACATGCCCCAAAAACATGGTATTTTCATGGTATTTTTAAAAAGTGAACTGAAGTCACTTCAGTGCTTTAAATATTGTTTAGTTGCTGTCAGTACGTTTATGTGTGTTGTGTGTGTTTTTCCCAGATGGATAAAGTTTGAGGAGAAGGTGGAGAAGGGTGGAGAACGGTGGAGTAAACCTCATGTAGCCACTCTGTCTCTTCACTCACTCTTCCAGCTGAAAAACTGCATCGAGAAAGGAACCATCAAGCTGGACATGGAGGCCAACTCACTTCAGCAGATCGTCGGTAAAACTGCTCTTCAGCACATGATCCAGCACTCTTAGAAATAAAGCTTCTTCAAGAACCATTTATGGCTGTATGGGGTTCTTTAGAGGTTAAAAAAATATTCAAACCAGTGTTTTAGTTTCTGGGTTCCTTAAACTGGGTTTTTGCAGGTCTTAAAAAATTACAATTACATACATTACATATTTTTAACTCACTATACATGCAGGTTTACAGTCAAGCAAGCTGAGGGAATAATCAATAAAAAAAAACTTTTTATTTAATATTTTAGGGAATCCGTTGGTTCAGGTTGTTCATATAAATGAAATAGTCCCATAAAAATGAAAAAAAGATTAATTGGCATTTTTATCATCTTTCTTGAAGTGAAATTATTCAATGCTAAACTTTTTTTTCAATATTTGTAGTAATTTGTATTTATTTTTTTATCATTTGTTATTTTTAATTAAACTCAATTATGTAAATTAGAGTGTTTTCTACTGTTTTTTTTTTGTATTTTTTAGTGTAAAATAAATTTGCAAACCAAAAGGAAAAAAGAATAATTGGCATTTTATGTCTTTCTTCGTTGTAGCGAAATTCTTAGTTAAGTGCTTTTATTTTTCAAAATTTTTAATAATTTGTAATTATTTTCCTAGAATTAATAAAAAAAAAAAATTAAACTCACTTATATAAATTTGTGTTTTCTACTGTTTTTTTTTTTTTTTTTTAAGTATTTATGATTTTTTTTGTTTTAGTGAAATAAATGTGCAAAAAAATGAAGAATAATTGGCATTTTATGTCTTCCTTCTTGTAGCAAAATTCTTAGTTAAGTGCTACATTTATTTTTATTTTATTTTATTTTATTATATTATTTTTCAATTTTAATAACATATCATTGTGTCCCCTTCCATTTATTCCTATTTATTTAACATTCCATTTTTTCCTTTATTTGGTCATAAATTTCCTTTAATAAAACCTGCTTTAAACCGGAAATCATCAGAAACCCTGCTTAAAGCACCAGTAGATGCCTGATGAGATGTGTCTCTGTCTTTCAGAAATGATCACTGACAGTCAGATTGAGAGCGGGCAGCTAAAGGCCGATCTGAAGGAGATGGTCATTTACACTTTGCTGCGGAAACATCGCCACCAGACCAAGAAGTCCAACCTGCGTTCTCTGGCAGACATCGGCAAAAGCGTGTCGAGTGCAAGTCGTCTGTTCAGCAGCCAGGAGAACGGTAACACAGCTGCCACATTAACCCTCTCTCTTACACTCTATCGCTTTCCACATCTCTCCTCTCGCTTTCACCACCAGCATCTATCATCCGTCCATCAGCAGCGTCTCTCGCTCGGTTTACAAGAGGTTGCATTCATAGCAGATGCCTTGTGGGTAAAATAACAAGCAGATTTGCACATTGCAAAATTGGCAATACTTTGATGTTTCAAATTCACAAGTGATCAAATGTGCTGATGAGATGCAGTTGGTTTTGATATTTTCACAGCAGTCAAACCTCAGACCCTCCCAGGATGAACTAGAAACCTTTAGAAACCTCCAGACATGTTAATGCTGAAGATGTTTTGACTTCTGAAATTCCTGATAGTGCCTTTTTCTAAATAAAAGTAACATGTTGATACTTTAGTTCCAATCTAATCATTTTTCACTTCAGTTTTAGGGAGTAACCAACCAAGCTAGCTAACTTAAATTCAACATGAAATCAGAACGGAGCCTTTTTTCTTTGTTAATGCACTTGGTCTTATTGTGATTCTTTGGTTCACATTATTTAAAGAACAACATGTTTGTTATCATAATCCTCCATCAAAAACTTTGCTTTTGAAATGACTTTCCTTTTCTGCTGACATCATCAAGGCCTTTTATTTTTAGCCCCTCCCCCCAGCTACCATATAGAGACACATTTCACAATCAGATTCATGACATGGAAAAACATCTCATTATAAAAAGGAAATGTGTCTTGTTTTGACTTTAATGTTGAAGAACTAGAAATGAATGTCAAGAAATATAGCGTGACAATAGATCTGATGTTTTCATAATATTGTAGCTTTTTCTAGAAACAAGGTATTTGTTGTAATGCTAAATGGCTGTTTTTAATGTACTGCACATGCACAGTCAAGCAAGCAGAGGGAATAATCAAATGCGCTCTTGTGCAAACGCATGACATTTGAAATCCTTTTTATTTATTTTAGGGAATTGTTGTGGATTTTTTTTATACAAATGAACCACTCATAAAAAGGAAGAAAATTCATTGGCTTATTTTATTTTATTTTATTTTATTTTTCAACATTTTAAATAATTTTTAATTAAATTCAGATATTTAACTTATTCAACTATTTAACCGTTAAATTCAACTTGAACTATTTATTAATATTCATGATTTTTTTTTTTTAATTTTCAAGATTTTTTTTAAACAATGTATAAATATATTATTTATAAATATGTATAGCTTAGATTCAAAGCAGCCGTTTCGAAGCTTCCCCAGGTTTCTCCTGTTTCAGAAATATCTTGTTCTCTCACAAGATTTTGTTGTCTTCTTTTCAAACTGTGCTTGGCTTTCCTAAATGATGTCTATTTACATTTTTATTTAATGCTCCAATTGAATTCTGAATCAGCTCTTTGAAGCAGATTTGTACTGGATTTCTCTGCTCTAATGCTTTCTTTTCTCTCTTCCCTGTCTCTCGTCCCTCCCACGTGTCTTGATTGGCATGCATGCGCTCTGTCTTCCTGTCTTTCTGTGTGTGTGCGTGAAGCGCGCAGTCCTCTCGATCACTCTGTGCCTTGCTTTGCCAACTTTGATCCTGACGAGCAAATTCAGATGCAGAGAAGCAACAGCATGGGACTTCTCTGTAAGTCTGTAGCTGAAGATTCAGACTGATTCATGCTAGATTTGCTCCTCTGTGAGTCTACAGATGGAGAATGATCCTGTAGTCTGGCTCTCTTTAAAAGAGCAGCTCTAGTCTACTGTAAATCTGCAGATAAAGACAGAAATTAATAATTTTGTATGTGCACAATAACTAAAGTTACTAAATGAATCTATGGAGATGTAGATGTTTCTGTGTTTTCCACAAAGTGTTTTAGCATTTGAGCAGCTGATCAATGTTTGACCTTTGACCTTGTGTGACCTCTACAGGTAGTCCAACCACGGCGCATCGTAACCTGACCTCCAACAGCCTGAACGATCTCTCAGACAAACCTGAGAAAGACCAGGTACTGTGAAGTGTGTTTCTGTGCAAATGTAAGTGTGTTAACAGTTTTGCCACATGTGGAAGTATATATTCATTCTGCAAGAAGAATATTATTGGGCCAGGGTGGATCTCATGAAAAAAAATAAAAATAAAAAATATATATATATACATACATACGTACATACATACATACATAAATAAGATATTTATATAATATATAATTACTGATACTGATACACAATGAATGAATTAATTAGGTGTTGCATTTTCACTCAGAAATTGTTAGTAAATTTCAGAAATATTTACAAAGAATCTGCAAGCCACACATTGAATTAAACATGAATTTTTTTACAGTGTATACAGACATTTTATAAATATAGTAATATAAATAAATATAAATCCTATTATTCTCAGTGGTTATTCTCATTAGATTTTTTTAAATTATTTAAAAAAAAATGTAAATCAGCAAATACTACCATGATATATACAGTGGGTACGGAAAGTATTCAGACCCCCTTACATTTTTCACTCTTTGTTATATTGCAGCCATTTGCTAAAATCATTTAAGTTAATTTTTTTTCCTCATTAATGTACACACAGCACCCCATATTGACAGAAAAACACAGAATTGTTGACATTTTTGCAGATTTATTAAAAAAGAAAAACTGAAATATCACATGGTCCTAAGTATTCACCCCCTTTGCTGTGACACTCATATATTTAACTCAGGTCCTGTCCATTTCTTCTGATCATCCTTGAGATGGTTCTACACCTTCATCTGAGTCCAGCTGTGTTTGATTATACTGATTGAACTTTAAACTACTTTTATAATGATAAATAATTTTATATATAATATTTTAAATAACAACAACACCTATAATAATGATATTTAAATTAATATATATTATAATAAATAAAAATATACATGCTTCGTAATTCAATAATATAATAATAATGCATATTTATTTAAAATATTAACAATTATTCTTATTATTATTTACATTTAACTAATATTAATAATAATTTTAGTTTTTTTTTTTGCATTATGCTAATGAGAATCATTGGCAAATGTGCTTAATTGCAATGAAAGTAATGTCTTAATGGTTTTAAAATAGGCTTAATTTTCTTGACAGTTTTGTGTTATTTTGTAGTGAGATATGAGCCAGGTGTGTTTCTATCAGGTTTTGTGTGATTCTCCCACCAAGCGTTCATATCCAGACACGATTGATGCCTGTTTCTCTGGTGGGAAGTTTGGTGAGGAAGGCTTCAGCCCTGGGTGTGACATCTCTAGAATGGGAATGAGTGCAAAAGGACAAAAGAAACTCCTTTTCAAAAGTAGCACACAATTGAAACTCAGTGGCTCTCTTTCACACGAGGACAAAACTGAGCCGCTGTCATCAGTTGCGTCAATATTTGTGGATTAGCGGGAGAGCCTTGTCAATCGCACAGAGCTCTTGTTGTGTATAATTCACGCTACTGCAGTAATTATACTGATAACCTCAGATGAAAATCAGCCAAACCGCAAACATTACACACACACACACACACACACACACACACACACACACACAAGGCCTCTTTTGTGTCTGTGTGTGTTCAGGCTGTATGTCATCCCAGTATTTATCGCTAATGAAGTGCTTTTGTTTATGCTAGTTGTGAGCTTGTTTCTTTGCACACTGTTTGAATCTTATCAGACTTTTATATTCCACTGAAATATGACCTCATAAATATGATCTCATAAAGAAACTTATTGCTTCTTTTGATAAATTCTTTATTAAATCGTTGTACTTGGTTGTAGCTTTTTCTGTTTTTATGGTGTTTATGTGAAAGGAATAGACAGTAGATTTGAATATGGGTCAGAGCATATAATATATAGTGAGATATGCTGAACAACTTTATGCTTCCATTGTAAATGTGTTACTTTAAATATGCTTTACAAAATGATTTATTTTCTGTGGTAACTGACTGCATGCAACAGAAATATTACTGCATGCATTAAAATTAAGAGTCTGGAAAAGTGTTGTTATTGTTAAATAAAACATTAAACTATTACAAATCATTTTTATTGTTTGATATAAAGCTGAGATAATGTAAATATAAATATTAGATGAAAAGCGTAAAACAAAAATTGAATTAAAATGTAAAAACAACATAAGTTGAAGTATTAAAATTACTAAATTTAAAACAGTAATTAAAATAAAGTAGAAATAGAAATATTTGAGAGAAACAAAAACTAATAAAAAATATCAAATACACATAACAAAATTACTACAAAAAAAACGAAACCTGAAAATATTAAAACAAAATATAATTCAAAATGTTAAATACATGAATATTTAATATTTTTGAAATATTAAAATATTTATTTATTTATTTAACAGCCTACAGTTACTCTACTATATTAAATATTTCAATTTGTTTATTCCGATAATTTCTTTATCTTTTTATATGGCTGTTGTCATTGTTTTATAGCATTTACGTTTAGTCTTTTAGCAGATGCTTTTATCCAAAGTGATTTATGAATGAGTAACATCACAAGCAATTTATTATCCTGTTATTAACCAAGTTAATTTAGTGAAAAATCTCCATCTTTTTCTTATGGTTTCTCTTTCTAGTTGAATAATAAGTTCATGAAGAAGGTTCCCCGGGATGCAGAAGCGTCAAACGTTCTGGTCGGCGAGGTGGACTTTCTGGACGCTCCCTTCGTGGCGTTTGTGCGTCTTCAGCAGGCCGTCATGTTAGGAGGACTCACCGAGGTTCCTGTTCCCACACGGTAACATGCTCACTGTAATGAAAGGAATAGTTCACCCAAAAATGCAAATTTACAGAAAATGTACTCACCCTCAGGCCATCCAAGATGTAGATGGGTTTGTTTCTTCATCAGATTTGGTGAAATTCAGCATTACATCACTTGCTCACCAGTGTATCCTCAGGAGTGAATGGGTGCCGTCAGAATGAAAGTCCAAACATCTGATAAATATAAGTAATCCACACCACTCCAGTCCATCAATTAATGTCTTGTTAAGTAAAAAGCTGTGTGTTTGTAAGAAACAAATCCTTCATTAAGACGTTTTTAACTTCAAACCGTCGCTTCTATCCAAAATATAGTCCATAATCCATAATAACACTTCCTCCAGCGAAAAAGTCCATCCCCTGTTGTCCTCTCACATCAAAATACTCTGACATAGTTGTATTTGTAACTGCTTTGGACTGTTTTTGCCTTGTAAACGGTGCTTGATCTGAGCATATTTCTCTCCTGATTCAGACGAGACAACTTTTTCAGTAGAGAAAGCAATATTATCAGTCGATGACCTGTATTTTAGCAGGAAGCAATGGTTTTGAAGTTAAAAACACCTTAATGATGGATTTGTTTCTTACAAACACGCAGCTTTTCACTTCACAAGACATTAACTGATGGACTGGAGTGGTGTGGATTACTTGAGGATTGTTGTGATGTTTTTATCAGCTGTTTGAACTCTCATTCTGACGGCACCCATTCACTGCAGAGGATACACTGGTGAGCAAGTGATGTGATGCTAAATTTATCCAAATCTGATCAAAAAAAAAAACTAATCTATATCTTGGATGGCCTGAGGGTGAGTACATTTTCAGCAAATTATCATTTTTGGGTGAAGTGTTCCTTTAAAGCTGTGCAATTCATAAATCCATTAATATAGTAATAACAGTATCTATTTGTATTTGTAGGTTCCTTTTTATTCTGCTGGGGCCCAAAGGAAAGGCCAAATCATACCATGAGATCGGACGTGCCATCGCCACGCTCATGTCTGATGAGGTGTGTTTATTTGCATGCTAACAGTGTTTAGTGTTCCTCCGGTGATATTAGCTGAACTGTGACCTAACGCTGTGTGCTTTCGGCTCCTGCAGGTGTTTCATGACATAGCTTATAAAGCGAAAGACCGCGGTGACCTGCTGGCAGGCATTGATGAGTTCCTGGATGAAGTCATTGTGCTTCCTCCAGGAGAATGGGACCCTGATATCAGGATCGAACCTCCTAAATCCATCCCGTCTGCAGATAAACGGTACTTACCACACCGCCCTGCATTATATGTGCTGAATGAAATCCAATACTTGCTTGTTACTAATTTTGAGGTACTGGTTCCAAAAATAGTGTCTGTTTTGCTTGAGCATGTCAGTCTTTCTCACAAAATATGATGCATTTTGTAGCATTTTTGCTTTTGACAAACATTTGTAAGGTGATGAAGTCTTGTTTTATCCCTTAATCAGCAGAAAAACTGATACAGAGACACGACTCCTGTCTGAATCTGAGCCAGATTACAACTCTTTGTTCAATTTCAGGATTTGCACATCTATTAATGATTCTGAAGAAAATTATTTTATGCCTAATTCTGATTTCCACTCAATTGCAATACATGCAGTACTTCTATTGTCATTAAAACCAAAACATTTAACATTTGACTGCTTTTGTTTTGTTGATATTGTTTAAATCAGCATCATCAAATTGGGTAACATTAAAACAAAAACCTGAGTAGATGTGTGTGTGTGTGTGTTTTCAGTAAAAACATTATTGCTGGAGGGGAAGGTCTTCAGATGAACGGCGGAGCTCCTCATGACGGGAGTCCAGGAGGCGGCGGCGGCGGCGGTGGCCACGCGGTTGGTGATGAACTCAAATTTACCGGCAGGTAAGTATATGAATAAGCACAAATACATGTTCATGAGCACTTAGTTTAACAATTAGCACAGTTGAAGTGATTTTATGTTTTTTCTGCACTGTGAAAATTGCAGTTATTGTATTTACATAGTCATTCATATGTTTGGGTCGGTAAGATTTTTTAAATTTTTCTGAAAGAAGTCTCTTCTGCTCACCAAGGCTGCATTTATTAAAAATACAGTAAAAACAGTTAAATTGTCAAATATTATTACAATTTAAAATAACCGTTTTAAATTTGAATATACTATAAAATGTAATTTATTCCTGTGATGCAAAGCTGAATTTTCAGCATCATTACTCCAGTCTTCAGTGTCACATGATCCTTCAGAAATCATTCTAATATACTGATTTGCTGCTCAAGAAACATTTCTGATTATTAATGTTGAAAATTTATATTTTTTGTGGAAACCATGATTAGGATTCTGTGATGAAAAGAAAGTTCAAAAGAATAGCATTTGTTTGAAATAAAAGTCTTCTGTAACATTATAAATGTCTTTTACTGTTACTTTTGATCAATTTAAATTGTATTTGCTGAATAAAAGTATTAATTTCTTTCCCAAAAATATTTTGAACGATTGTATGGAAGCCCGTTTCTGCCACTAGATAAAAAAATAAAAAAAGGTAATTGCTTTTTATCTCACAATTCTGACTTTTTTTTTCTCAGAATTGTTTGATATAAACTCGCAATTGCGAGAAAAAATGTCAGAATTGCGACAATTCTGACTTTATTTCTTAGAATTGCGAGATATAAACTTGCGATTCTGACTTTTTTTCTCGCAATTGCAACTTTATAACTCGCAATTCTGAGAAATAAAGTCAGAATTTCGAGATATAAAGTCGCAATTTTTAGTTTTTTTCTCGCAATTTTGACTCTATAACTCGCAATTTTGACTTTATAACTCACAATTTTAACTTTATAACTCGCAATTGCGTGTTATAAAGTCAGAATTGCGAGATATGAACTCGCAATTCTGAGGAAAAAAAAGTCAGAATTGTGAGATAAAAAGTCGCAATTACCTTGTTTTATTTTTAATTCAGTGGCGGAAACGGGCTTCCATACGATTGTGTAGGGAAAACAAATTTTTAAATTTTTTTTTGGTTACCTGCCAAAACATTTTCCAGTAAGAAAACAATCTCTTTCTCTCGTAGGTTTTGCGGCGGCCTCGTTCTGGACGTCAAGAGGAAGCTCCCGTTTTACGCGAGTGACTTTTACGACGCTCTCAACATTCAGTCTCTGTCTGCCATCTTGTTCATTTACCTGGGAACCGTAACAAACGCCATCACCTTCGGAGGGCTGCTGGGAGACGCCACTGACAACATGCAGGTTTGACGCTTCAAGTCTTTTTCTGACCGTCGTGAGTTTGTACTGAACTAGTGTCAGACGGTTTGGCTCAGCTAGGTTTATTCGGGAGCTTCTGGAAATAAAATTTGGCTGACATTGTGTTTATGGCTCCGGGGATTTGAAGGCCACAGATAGCTGCTTGATTACTAAACATGTCACGTCAAATATATGTCATGTGTCTCCTAGATCGGCTGTTTGGAAACAGATGTACATGTTGCATGTTGGCATTTGATCCGTGCTATACTGAGAGTGACTTTTCTTCGAACAACTGTGTGTATAAATAGTGTCAGGATTGTGCGTTGTGCAGTGACTGAGAGTTTGCGCATATATTTAGCAGTGCATGAATATGGCGCAGGCTAATGAGGATCAGCTATAAATATCCTCAGATTACACACGAGCACACACACACACTAACACACACATAAAATCACATAAATACATGTCGGAAAAATCCCTCTAACGGAATCCTTCTTGTGACCTCTGGCCTTTCCCTACAAAGCCTGCCTCAGATATTAAAGCTTTAGGTGAAGGTTGCAGGTTGGTGAATAGATATTTTTTTTTTGTCTCATATGTTTAAAAAACATTAAAGATGAAAATATGTAAATATATTGGATATGTAAACACAAATGCAGAACAATTATATATGCTGTGATAACTCACCAAAACTGAACTATCAAGTCTTGAGTTTTTGGATTTTGGACAGTTTAAGTCGAGAAATGGTAAAAAAGGGTAAAATCATTATTATTTATCAGTTATTGCGTTTATGAAACAGTAGAGAGAGCAAAACAAGAAAATAAATCAGTGTTTAATAAATAATTAATAATTAATCAGTTGATAAAAAGCAATTACTTTATTAAGTATTATTATTATTATTTACTGTTTAAATAGATTATTATTATTTATGTCCTATTTAAATATATTATTTCAATGAATTATTGCATTAATAATAAACAATAAAAAGTTTAATAATAAAATATAATAATAATACAACTAAAATTATTATTATTATTATTATTTATTTAATTTAAATAGATTATTATTATTATTATTATTTAATTTTTAAATGCATTATTTTTACTATTATTATTATTATGATTATTCTAAATTAATACAACAAAATGAATGAATACAATAATCACATTCATAATAATCACAATTAATAAATTTCCCATCCATCTGTAGGCTGTTTATCATTTTAATGGTTCATTGTTCACTAAATAAATAAAAATTAAATATATTAAAATAAAACAACAATATAATAATAATTCATTAATTGCTATTTATTATATAATTTACATGTATTATTATTATTAATTATAATATTAAGTCAATTATTATTATTGTTAATATGACTTCTATTAATAATAATAATAGTAATAATGCATTATACAAATCCAAATTAAACCCTGCGGCTCGTGACGACACATTGATGTCCTAAGACACGAAACGATCGGTTTGTGCGAGAAACCGAACAGTATTTATATAATTTTTTTACCTCTAATACACCACTATGTCCAACTGTCTTTGGGTGCGCGCACGGCATCCGGTGCGTGAGGTGTGTACGCGCTCTGGCGTAGTTTACGCAAGCGCCGGAAGTGTTCTCTCGCGCGTATACGTCACTCATTGTTTACACAGTGCATAGTCATTGTAGGTACGACGGCTAATCAAAATGGTACTTACTTGCGCTTATCCGGATTGTTCAAACCGACTTTAAACTAAAAGATTACGTTCTCTCGCGCAAACTCATTCGGGAGTGGTGACTTTCCACGTATTCCCAACTTCTGAGCCTGCTCGCCTGAAGTTATGGTTGATTGCTCTTCGGCTGGATATCAACACACCCATTAACGTAAACTACGCCAGAGTGCGTACACACCTCACGCACCGGATGCCGTGCGTGCGCCCAAAGATAGTTGGACATAGTGGTGTATTAGAGGTAAAAAATTATATAAATACTGTTCGGTTTCTGGCACAAACCGATCGTTTCGTGTCTTAGGACATCAATGTGTCGTCACGAGCCGCAGTGTTTAATTTGGATTTGTCTGTGCATGTTTTTTTTTACTCTCATAGATTTTGTTACCATTGCCATGCTTTATACGACTGATAGACTGCAACGGTTAAAGTTAAAAATCATCAAATGTGTTCTACTGAAGGAACAAAGTCACCTACATCTTGGATGCCCCGGGGGTAAGCAGATAAACATCAAATTTTCATTTTTGGGTGAACTATCCCTTTAAGTTTAATAGTGATGCTTACCTGAGAAAACTCCAGGCATTTGTCTGAATAAGCGCTTTCAGATCTGACTGTCAGGCAGAAATGTGCTCGTCAAGAAGCAGCTGCCGTCACATATCTTAAATCTGATAAGAGTTCCCCTTTTAGTGCTATCACTAAGAAATTACCTTCAAATACACTGCCTTGGCTTTAGTTTTTCCGCTTGACGTCTGTGTGTTTGTCTGTCTGTGCAGGGCGTGTTGGAGAGTTTTGTTGGGACGGCGTTGGCTGGTGCTGTGTTCTGTCTGTTTGCGGGTCAACCTCTGACTATCCTGAGCAGCACCGGACCCGTGCTCGTCTTTGAGCGACTGCTCTTTAACTTCAGCAAGTGGGTGTCACGTACACACAGATGCGTACAAAAGCATGGCACATAAGTTCAGAATAAAAAACAGCAAGCCATCAGTGGGACGATTTTGTTAACAGTATTTGTTAGACAAAATGTGATATGTGGTGAAATATAAAATGTGTTATAATATATATATTACACATTTTATATTTATTAAGTGTTACTAGCTGGCGAAGGAAGTCTATGTGAGTGTCCCTCTTCAGGTCCTGAGAGATGGTGGTGCCCAGGAATCTGATTCTGAATATATGATTTATTCCACTCAGATTTTATAGCCAAGCTTATCTGTTTCACATTTAGTTAGAGAATGATGTTTGAACATCAGCTTGGATTCGGATCCATCCACAAACCCAGACTGTAAATCTACAGAGTTTATACTTCCTTTCTGTATTGATGTGTCATATTTAGTTTGACCAAAAACAAGCAGCATTTCCTGGAACTCTTGTAGTTGTGTGTCATCAGAAGCACAATACGTTCTGAGTTATCTAGAATCAAGATACATCTTATTGTTTTCCCGTTTCCGCCAAGGTCTCGTCTGTCTGTTTCTGTGTGCGTGTGTGTGTGTGTGTGCGTGCATGAATACATTTCTCTGTCTTTCTCTGTCTCTCTCGCTCTCTGTCTTTGAGGTTTCAGGTTTCTGTGTTTATGTTCCATTATGAATAATTGAGTCAGATTTCATGTCTGCTTCTGCTACCGTGTATCAGTTCAGCTTCTCTGGGGGTTTCCATCTAAAGCGCTGAGTCTAGAATGGATGTAATATACATGTAATATATTGGATGAGTCAGATGTAACATGCTAACATATTAGTACTTTCTAATCAATAAAGACTGGATTCAGTCTGTAACACAAATAGCATAAGAAAAATATCTTTTGGAAAGTAATCCATATAACAATACACAATATAGGACCATAAATAATATAATATGACTTGAAAAAAATAGTATATGTATATATTTAATCAAATGTAAATATATATGTACATATATATTATTGATTTCAGTTTAGAGCATTGCATTATGGGATCAGTGGTACATGGGTGCTCTGGTTATATATTAAATGTTTTGAGTAAAAAAAAAAAAAAAGGCTATCCAGGTAATCTATGCAAAAAGAACATTTGCATACTCAGTATGTTTCAAAACCAGTGGATTGTATGACATTTCAAACATATTGTTAGTCAAACCTATTTTTCTTATCTTGTCACGGGTTGATTGCTTCGTGGGTGACGGTGATGTGTGTTTTTGATTGGTTCAGGGATAATGATTTCGACTATCTGGAGTTCCGGCTGTGGATCGGTCTGTGGTCTGCTTTCTTGTGTCTGGTCCTGGTCGCCACAGACGCCAGCTTCCTGGTGCAGTACTTCACCCGCTTCACAGAGGAGGGGTTTTCTGCTCTCATCAGCTTCATCTTCATCTACGACTCCTTCAAGAAAATGCTCAAACTGGCTCACCATCATCCAATCAACTCAGACTTCAACATGGACCTGGTCACGCAGTACGGATGCCACTGCAGTCCTCCAGACGGTGAGACGATGACTGAGTGAAGAAGACGGTCAGATAGAAAAGTGTTTGTGCCAAAAATAATCCGTTTTTATATAATCTTCATTACATTTTTATTAATGCTATTATTATTGATATATTACAATAATATTAATAATATATTAACATTATTGCTTGTTTTCAGAGACAATATCTTAATATTTAAAAGTTTTTTTTATTGTTTTACATTTTCTTTCAATTATGCACATGATTTTGATATCCTTATTAGAAAACAACACATAATACTGATTAAGAAAATGTTTTGTGTTTGATTTCTGATTATTTAGTGTTGCATTTAACACTGCAACATACAGTAGAGTTTCCTGATGTGCTTTTCTTCGTGAGGCATTTTTAATCGGAGACTGGTACATTTTCAGTTATTATAGCTTTTTTATAAATCATGTAATTCACATTTCTTTTCGGATTTTTATACATGCTTTTTATATATTTATTTTTGTAATAGTAGTAATATAGTAACATAAATACTTGTTTTCAGAGCAATATCTTAATATTTAAAAGAAATTTTATTGATAAGTTGTTACTTTGTTTGAATGTTTTACATTTTCTTTCAATTATGCACATGATTTTGATATCCTTATTAGAAAATAACACATAATACTCATTAAGAAAATGTTTTGTGTTTGATTTCTGATTATTTAGTGTTGCATTTAACACTGCAACATACAGTAGAGTTTCCTGATGTGCTTTTCTTCGTTTTTAATTGGAGACTGGTACATTTTCAGTTATTATAGCTTTTTTTAGTCATTCGCATTTCTTTTCGAATTTTTATACATGCTATTTATATTTTTATTTTTCTATTTTTGTAATAGTAGTAATATAGTAACATAAATGCTTGTTTTCAGAGAAATATATATCAGAGAAATATCTTAATATTTAAAAGTTTATTCTTTTTTTACTCTATTGACAAATGGTTACTTTTTTGAATTTTTCATATTTTATAATTCACATCATATAATTCACATTTTCTAAAATTATTATACATGCTATGTTTTCTTTCATATTTACTTTACAGATCAATTTCTTTATTTCTTTCTTATCTCTGTCTTATTAATTAATTTGTTTATTTATTTTTTATAAATAATGTATTAATAGTAATATATTAACATTCATTCTTTTTTTTAAAGAAAATATTATATTTAAACGTTTTTTAAGCTATTGACAAATTGTTATTTGTTTAAATATTTTACATTTTACACATGCTATTTATTTATTTAAATATATTAATATACTAATAGTAATATATTAACATCAATTCTTTCAGAGAAAATATTGTAATATTTAAAAGATTTTTTACCCTATTGACAAATTGTTACTTTGAATGTTTTACATTTTCTTTCAGTTTTGCACATGACTTGTATATTCTTATTAGAAAACATGACAAAATAGTAATCAAGAAAATGAGTGAGTGAGAAACTGACATTCAACATCAGGTTTAATATAAAACTAAACTCATCTTTTGTGTCTTTGATTCAAAAGGCAACATTTCAGCTCTGTACATGGAGAAGATGGAGGTCCTGATGAACAGCACTGGACAGGTAGATGCTCTGTGTGTTTGTGTTGATCATTATTAAATTATTAAAATACCCACAATGCATCAGTACACTCAGATAAAATAAAAACTGCCATTTCTGGCAAGTTACTGCACATATACAACACATATGATATTTAAAAAGACTAAAACGTTTTTTATTGATATGAATGAGGATAATTGTTCATGTTTGTGTTTGCACAGCAACATCTGAACGCGACCTGGGCGTCTTTGACTCGTTCTGAGTGTTTGGAGTGGGGCGGTCAGCTGGTGGGCCCGGCGTGTGAATACGTCCCTGATATCACACTGATGTCCTTCATTCTGTTCTTCGGCACATACACCTGCTCCATGGGTCTGAAGAAGTTCAAAACCAGCCGATTTTTCCCAACTACGGTAAACACATACACACACACGGTCATCATCACTCATTAATGAGGATCTTAATTGGCTTATGCTATACTCATGAGAATATTCATCCTCACAGGACTTGGACACCCTGCCCACACACACACACACACACACACACACACACAGACTTTAAGCTTCAATCTGAAACTCACTGCTTCTGAATTAAAGCATCTTTTGGCAGCTGGCAGCTGGGGGAAGTCGTGGCCTAATGGTTAGAGAGTCGGACTCGTAACCCAAAGGTTGTGGGTTCGAGTCTCGTACCGGCAGGGATTGTAGGTGGGGGGAGTGAATGTACAGTGCTCTCTCCACCTTCAATACCACGACTGAAATTATTTTATTTTATTTTATTTTATTTTATTTTATTTTATTTTATTTTATTTTATTTTATTTTATTTTATTTTATTTTATTTTATTTTATTTTATTTTATTTTATTTTATTTTATTTTATTTTATTTTATTTTATTTTATTTTATTTTATTTTATTTTATTTTATTTTATTTTATTTTATTTTATTTTATTTTATTTTATTTTATTTTATTTTATTTTATTTTATTTTATTTTATTTTATTTTATTTTATTTTTTTATTTTATTTTATTTTAGAGATCAAATCCTATTGTTTTTTTTGTTTGTTTTGTTTTTTTAAATGGGAGCCATGAAAAAAAAGATAAAAGAGATGGTGACTTTTCCCTTTATGCATTTATATTAAAAATTATAATTATTAAATCTTAAAAAAAAAAAAAATACTGATCACAGTTGAGTATTGCATTTAACAAATAACTAATGTTTTTCTTCATGCAGATTTGTACATTTTATTATAGCTCTTTTGTTATAAATCATATAATTCACATTTTGTATAATTATTATACATGCTGTTTGTAATTATTTATATAATAATATAATTGTAATGCATCAGATAAGGCCAAGCGTTACATAATAAAAGTACTACATTAACATTAATAATTGTTTTCAGAGAAAAATCTTCATATTTAAAAGTTATTTGTTTTATTTTATTTGAGAAACATAAAATAAATAATAAAATAAATATAAAATCTCGATGCTGAAAAAAAGGCCTGTGTTATTTGTTCATAATCTGAACTATTTGAACTGTTAATGTGAATTCATATGCTGAATGGTTGATTATATTTCGCAGGTCCGCAAACTGATCAGTGATTTCGCCATTATTCTGGCCATTTTGATCTTCTGTGGTGTGGACGCGCTCGTCGGTGTGGATACACCAAAACTACTAGTGCCAAGTGAATTCAAGGTGTGTATGTGTGTGATGAATGGTTTAATGTCTTTGTGAGGGAACTTCTATGTTACAGTAATACTTTAATAGTACCATATTATTATTGTTATTATTATTACATATATTATTATTATCATACCTTCAATCCACTCACTGAAGTCCGACACTTGAAACCTCTAATACGTGTGTGTCACAAACAGACACAACTGTGCGTCCTGTGAGAATCCAGTGCTCGTATTGTTACCGCAAAATCTGTATCGGCACAAGCTGAATCAATGTAACTTTCATTAGTAATGTTAACAAACCATAATACATGATATAATATATAACAGATCAATAGATAATTTAGTTTCAAATGTAATTATTATGCTCATATTTCTATTTGAATGTAGATAAACTACATAATGTGCATACATTTACATAATGTTTGCTGATGAAAGTTATTATAAAGTGCCGCCCTTGTCATGCTAAAACAAATGTTGAATTTATAAAATATTGTATTAAATTAAATATTGTATACTACATATTTATTAATTTAAATACATAAATATATATATATATATGTATGTGTATATATCTTTACATACTGTATGTACTGTGCATGTTTATATATAAATTATTTAAATATATATTTAAAATGCATATATGTACAGTCAAACCAAAAAATATTCAGACACCAGATATAATTTTTGATATTTTTTTTACTAGTGGGTGCAGGACACTATAGTTCATTTATGTAAGTGAGGATAGCAAAATAAAGTAAACTGTGATATTTTATACCCAGAAATTCTTCATACAGTGGACTAACAGTAAAATTGATACAAATTTGGGACCAAAAATTATTCAGACCAGACCATGTTTTGCTTAATTGTTAGCTGACATTATCAAGATAAATTTAAGTTTAACTCTGAGTTCCTGTCATATTTTATTACCATTTTCTAAACTATAGCGAATAAACTGTGATAATGTGAGAAATGTTGAAGGCGTCTGAATAAATGTTGGTTTGACTGTATATACTGTAACATATATGTTGTATAAAATATAAAATATGTGTGTAATTTAAATGTAAAAATATATAATTAAATATATATATATAAATATATATATGTGTGTGTGTATAATATATATATTATAAAATAATAAAATATATATAAGAAAAAAATAATGAATATGTACATTTATCAAAAAATAAAAAAGTATATAATAAAAATATATAATAAAATATTATATTCAAAATACAGTAAGTGTAATATAAATATATATGCATGTTTTTTTTTT